TGGGGCTCAGGTCTGCATCTGTGTGCAGGGGGAGTGGAGACAGGAGCTCAGGTGTGGGTCTGTGTGTGCAGAGGGAGCAGAAAATGGGGCTCAGGTCTGCATCTGTGTGCAGGGGGACGGGGAGACAAGCTCAGGTGTGGGTGTGTGCAGGGAGAGGGGAGACTGGGGCTCAGGTCTGCATGTGTGTGTGCAGGGGGAGTGGAGATGGATCCTTGCCACTTACCCTTGCCTGCTAGACACTTAGAGACCACGGCTCTGTGTCAGGTGTGGAAGACCAACCACATGCACAAGAGTAAACCATTTTTGGCTGGGGAGTAGGCATGCCACAAAGGGCAAGGTGTGCATCAGGGAGCAGCCCTCCTGACCCAGAGGGCCAGTCTTGGACCCCACAGTCCTCCCTATCCCCAATTTCCTCTTTAGTCTGAAGGCCCAAAGATAGGTATCCAAACCACTACAATTTTTTACTTTAATCTGAAGTTGTATTCCAGCACCAGTTTGATACAGGAAACCTGGGCATTTTGACTACCAGGAGACACAGGCCTGGCGCAGGGCCATCCTGCCCTGTCATTGCGCACCAGTCCCTGGTGGCAGGCAGGGGCACCCTCAGACCAGGGCCAGTATAAGCAGGACCGGCTGGAACCTCCTGGAGGGAGATCTGGGCAGAGACCAGCGGCAGGATTCCCAAGTAAACAAGTTTGGCCTTGGTCTGAATGATGTCCCTGGGGGGGCGCTCACATATAAATAGGATAAATAAGCCCCTCCAGAGTTCCCTCCCCCAGTTCACAGAGCAGGAGGCTGACTCCAGGGCTGGGAGGACCCCAGCCCAGGGCTCAGCCCATTCCCTGGGCTGGCAGAGCAGAGGCAGGAGTTTGTAAAATCTCTCCTCTTCAAACCTCAAAAAGCAGGTTTGCCAACTGCCACCGCCAAGGCTATGAATGTGACTAATGTAGCAGCAGAGGGTTCTCATAGAAAAAATAGACTTTTAGGAAAATAGCTGAAAACATCTAAAGAGATAATAAGTATAAAAAGTTAAAAAATATATCTTAAGGCAAAATGTTGCCCAAACATATAAACTTAATTTGAAGAAACCCACCTATCTAAATGAGTGAGGCTCGGTGAGTGGCACCTTTGTGGGGGGCAGGCTGCCGCCGGAGTGGGACTCCACACCAGTCCAGACACCAAGGTCTGAGGACGACACCAAGAGGGGGAGAGGGGACCATGGTGGACACCTGGACAATAGCAACTGTTCCAGAACGTTTTCAAACTAAGTCCACAGACAAAAACCCAGGACTGCTGGGGCAGCTGCCCCACCGCGAGCCCACATGGCCTGCATGTTTGGCCAGACCCACCTCAGGTCTCTACAAGGATTTCCACAATGTGGTCGAGCTCGCCCAGGTCAGCCTTGCAGCCGGGGCCAGGGGGTGTGGTGGCGGGAGGGGCCAGGCCCTCAAGTGCGTCACAGGGGCTGGTCCTGCTGCCCGTCATGCCAGCCAGCACGGCATCGAGGCCGTAGTAGGAGCCGTCTACATCAGCCAAGAGGTCCTCCATGGAGCTGGGGTTGCGGCTTTCCAGGGTCTCAAAGATCTGATCCAGTGACTTCTGGAAGCCCCCCTTGCTTTCCCGAGAGCTGTCCAGGTCCCAGACACTGCTGGGGGCATGTCTTGCCACCGGGGCTGCTGGGCCAGAGGTGAGGTCAGAGGTGAGGTCTGGAGCTGGGCAGTCGTGGGGCCCTTTGGGGAAGTGGCTGTCACCGGGGCCAGGCCTACCCTGGTCCTGCTCCCGCTCTGACCGACACAGGATGTCTGTGGAAACGAGGCGGTCGAGGGGCGCTGGACCTGCGTCAGGGGGAGACATCCCTCGCCAAGCCCCATCCTGGGTCATCTCCTCCTGGATCTGCCGCACAGTGTTGGCAATGAGGACGGAGCGGCAGAGGTTGGGCTCCGCCAGCATGTGACACAGCTGCAGTTTCACCAGGGACATGTCCAGTAGGCACTGTCGCTGCAGGGCATATGAGGGGACAGCCAACTCCTCTTCACCGTCGGGAAACTTTCTCTTCAGTCCCCGGGCAAACATCTTGTCCTGCTGAGACCAAGCCAGAGGCTACTTAGTGCTACACAGATGCTGCCCCCAGTGCCAGGAGAGAGTGGTGCCCTCTGCAGCCTGGGAGACAGCATGCAGCAGAGCTGGTGGGCCACTGAGGACTGTGGCGCAGTGCCTACCACTCGCCACACTTTCATCAGAGAAGGGCGAACTAGACTTGGCCCTGGGAGAAGCCAGCTAACCCAGCTACCTGCCTCCCCACCTTATACATGCTGCTTACCCTGGCCTGCTGATCAGACCGGCCTCGGGCACTCCACCCCCACCGTTCAGCGCTACCAGCCCATTACTCCCTGCCAGAGCACTGGTGGTGCAGGGTGAAGACACCTGGACCCACTCCAGATGAACAGGGGCCAGAGATGTACAGAGCGCCCCTGGGCAAGGACCCACCCGGCACTTCCATGGAAACACCTGCTGGTAAGCAGCCGCCAGCAGTAACCACCAGTCTCACGACTGGGAGGCCCAAACAGAGATGCCAGGGGCTCGGAGGACTGTGTCACTCACTCAGCCACCAGCCCGGTCTCCACAGATGGTTACGGCCAACAGCCTGCTCTGCCCCAAGCCCTGCTGAGGCATGGATGAGGCAGCAGCCTGGGCCCAGCAGCTACAGACTTATCATCCTACCGACCTTGCGGAGCGTCCCAGGCCTGGGAGCACTTCTATCACAAGGGGTCTGACACTGAGCCTTGGGCAGTGGCAGGAGGTCGAGGCTTGGCCTCTGAGTACCCCATCCCACTCAGGTCTAAACCAGGCCTGGAAGTCTGGATCCACTGGAGAACGCTCATAAGCAAGGGCCCTGACCCTCAACAGCCCCTAGATACCCACACCCAAGCCATCTGTCCATCCTTCAACCGAATCCCAACTCAGCATGCCCACAGGCTCCCAACATCTGCCTACCAGTTCGTCCACCCGAGAGCCTGTCCCTGAGCTCCCGGGGCAGCACACTTCCTGTCTAAGTGCCTCAGCTGACCTGTGACTGTCTCTACCCAGACTCTTAGCTACCCACCAATTGCATGGTGACCGAGGCCGGAGACCCCAGAGACCAATGGATCCTCCCACAGGAGGGCATATCAGTGACGTGTGTTCTTACAGGAAGAAGTGGAGACCAATCTTTTGAACCGTCTCTCAGGGGCGAGGATGGGAGCAGGCAGGAGACGGGACTTCAATTCTTACCTGCACCCCTTGGTGGGGGTTGGGGGGCTCCAGCGGCTGACTCAGAGCCCCATCACCGGCAGGGTAGGTCCCGCCCGAAGCAACCCTGGAAGGCACACCTTACTAGAATAAAGAAAACGTGAAAGCTGTAAGGTAGTAGTTTCTCTCCTTTCCTATTTGAAATACAGCTGGGATTTTTGTTTTAAGTTTTATTGATAAAATTAGAATCCTTTAAAGATGCAAACCAATTGTATTACTCCTTCAGACAGCCATTTTGACTGGGGGTCTGGGATGTAGCCTGTCTGTCCATTAAGACAGAAGAGTTCTAAGCAAAGACAGCCAGGTTCCTGCCGGTGTTCGCTTGCTGTCTGCTCACGGTCACCAGGCTCACATTCGTGCCTCCCATAGGAAGGACGGCTGAGGCCTCACAAGGAGGCGGGCGGGCGCGGGTGTTACAGTAGTCGTGTTCTAAGAACAGCTTGAGGGGCAGGAGCTGTCCAGACCCTTAATTCTGGTGAGTGACTGGGGACTAAGCCACAACTATGACGCTCATGTCTTGGGAACTCTGTGGGCATCCATAACGCTGGCCTCAGAAGGTTCATGATTCTTAGAATGCCAAGCCACTAAGAGTCCAGAAGCTGGGGGGAGAGGCGGGCCTTGTGACGCCAGGGAGCCCTCTGTAGGGCTGGGACAGTTCTGTGCCTGACTGATGGTAATTGGAAGTACACCACCTTCCTCAGGCTGGCTGTGCCCTGAGTTCTGTGAGAGGCAGATGCCATTTCTGGACACCTTTAAGTGAAACACGCGTCATTTAATACAAATTTTGTTGGGAGCTCTTACAACATTCCATACATCAATTGTATCAAGCATATTTGTACATATGTTGCTATTATCATTTCCAAAACATTTTCTACTTGAGCCCTATGGTATAAGCTCCTGTTTTTCCCCTTCCCTCCCACCTCCATGAACCCTTGATTATATATTGTTATTGTTTTGTATCTTACACTGTCCATTGTCTCCCTTCACCCATATCTGTTACTCGAAACTGTAGTCATTGTAAGGAAGTCACAAAGTGGCCACAGCTGAGGACTCTACAAGACAAATCTCCTGAGAACACAAACAGCTCTCGGTAAGCCCCATTTTCCTCATTATACTTTGCACCTGCTGGCCCATCACCTATTTCAAGTGAAAGAAAGCAGTTACCAAAGAAAAACACTTCGATAATAAAGAATGTAGCTTATCCTGTTGTCTGGGCCTGGCTACAAATCTGGTGGGTTACAGATTGGCCTACTTACCACAAGGTCTGCGGTTTGACACTACCAGCTGCTCCTCAGGAGAGAGGTTTTCTACTCCTGTAAGTATTTACAGTCTCAGAAACCAGAGGCAGTTCTACCCGGCCTATGGGTTTGCCCTGAGCTGGAACCGGTGGGATGGCGTAGCTTAGGGCCACTAGCTTATTACACCGCGAGCAGCTATGGGCAGGTGACCAGGCATTCACGGCAGCCTACAGGTGCAGCCACCTGAGGTGTCCTCAGCAGGTGACAGACATGCTGTGGTCAGACCCAAGGGGACACAACTCAACCCCAGACACACAAAGTCCCAAGTTGCATCCCCACAGGGGACCTTGCAGATAGGTAGCTGAGAGACTCCAATGGCGGTCTGGCCTCAGCTCTGGGAGCGCTGCGGCCAGCAGGAAGCAGGGCGGTTTAGTCAGTGGCAGGGGAATGCCCAGTGAGAATGGCTTCACAGCTCGTCACCAGGGCCCTTGGATTGCACAGACTGCACACGTGCAAACAGACTGACTGGCGTTTCCTTTGTAATGTTTATTTTCACAACTGTAAAGAGCAATGGTTTAAAACAGGAGGGGGAGCAACAAGGAAGGGCAGATGGAGAGGTGAGCCCAGACTAAGGGCCCAGCCACCGTGGCCGTTCAATCAGATTTCACACGGAAGGTTCTGGAGTGGCTCTGCCCCTGCCAGCCCCTTGACCTGCCCCCCAACCCCCAGCAGGATACTCTGGGGGTATCCAGTGACCTAGCCATTTCCCAAGGTGGGGAGAAGGTTGCAGCATGGCCTTGGCCAGATTCTGGGCTGGTCCAGCCAGAGCAGGGCTAGAGCCCTGGAGCTATCACACCTGGACATGGGGCTGACAGCTCCGTCAAATAGTCAGACTGGCTTTGAAACATGTTGTCACCTCTGGCTACGGGAGAACGAGCTGTTCAGAGGCTGAGGCACAAGCGCTGCTCTTCCTTGAGGAACTAGCTTCTTACTCTGACCTTGGTTTCAAGATGAAATTCACTGCCACTTGAAGGAGCAAGGGAATGCACGTCAATAAGACACAAAACTTCATTTTGGAAACTGACTTTTACACTACAGGCTCATTTTAACAGGAGTTTGAAACAATGAGCCGCTCCCAGAAAGCTGAAGCTCTCTGCTCTTGTAAAGAGTGAGTCTCAGAAACCCGCAAGGGCAGGTTTACACTGGCCTGTAAGGACTGCTGAGAGTCACACATCGACTCCAAGGCTGTGGGTCTCGGTCTGAGTCATTTTAGAAGCACATCACCAGAGTCCTGCTGTCCTGGCATCCAACACAAAGGCTGGGAGAGAAAATGCTGCCCAGAGACCCTCTGGGCTTTCCTGGCCACATCCTTTGGCCGTGATGAGCTGTGTCATCCAGAGTGAAGCTTGTTGCTGGGGTTTTCTGTCCCCACCTTGAAGGCCTCAAGAACCCCAAGCTCATAGGCAGACACAGTAGACTGTTCCCCGTCTTCGGAGGTGTCCCCTCTGCCTACACCTGCCACCCTCTGGCTAGGCAGGAAAGCAGACCGAGTGGCTGGCTTTTAAACCAGTTAAGGCTTCAGTACTTGTTCCAAAATGTCTCAATGAGTTTAAAGGGAAGCGGGGATGAATGAACTGGAGTTGGGAAATCAGTGCAAAAAATACTTATCACACTCCTTCTAAAAGTGAATAAAACAAGGGACAAATACTGACCAGGCACCAGCCAACTCAGGAAGTCTGCCCGCCTCACCAGCAGCCCATGGGGCCATGGCCAGCCATTCTGGAAAGGGCTACCTAACAAGGATTTTCACAACAGGTACTGAGCTAACAGTTATGCTTTACACCTCTCGAAATGGCTTGGGTGTTTCTGCTGGGCCATTCTGTTTTCACACACCCCGTCTGAGATGCTGCTGCTGCTAGGTGCCATCTGGTTGGTCGGTTCCCAGCACAGCGAACCCTACACATGCTGCATCCTATGGTCCTGCACAATCCTCACAACCGCTCCTGTGCCAAACGAAGCCCCTTGTTACAGGACATGTTGTCACACCATCTCTCTGAAGGATATCCTCCTCTTCTGTGCAGGGGCCGCAAATAGCAGGGAAATCCAAATCGCCCAGACACAAGAATAAATGGGTGGTGGGTGTGAAAGCAGAGGGGCAGGCCTATGGAAGGATGGACAGGCAGGCAGATGCGGGGGAAGGATATATGGACAGGTAGGTAGATAGATATTGGACAGGAGGATGGAAGGATGGATAGGAAGGCAGACAGACAACAGTAGGGGATTGAGAGACAGGCATCTGGATGTTGAATGGGAGGGTGGATGGAGAGGTAGGCAGATGGATGAGAAGATGGAAGTCCAGACAGGCAGATGGGGAGGCAGATGGATACGAGGATGGACAGACAGATGGAGAGATGGATGAACAAAGAGGCAAGTAGGCAGAGGAAGAGGCTGAAGGATGGATGGTTCGAGGGGCAGCCGGAGGCCTCCTGGCTGTCCAGCGGTCAGAGCCAGCAGGCACTGTGAGTGCAAGAGAACGTATAGGGCCAGGGCAGCAGAGAGGCTGGGGAGTTTGTCCAACTCATAGCAGGCTGGTCACCTTCTACAAACACAAGCTAAGTTTGGTCCCAGCCTCCCATGTGACGGAGAATTCCTTTATGATTGAATACGGTTAAAAAAAAAAACAACGGGAAAGGCTGCCTGGGTCTGCAGGCCACACACTGAATTCCCTGAAGGCTGGTGACTCATGGGTGGGGGAGGGGGAGGCACGAAGGGGGACACCAAGTCTTCCGGCTCGGCCCCGCCCCCACAGGCCCCCACCAGGCGGCGGGATGGGAGCCACGAGGTCTCCCGGAGCCCGGCCCGTGAAGCAGAGGGGCTTGTGTGTGTGAGAGACCGGCGCTGGGCCCTCGGGGCGCCCGGTCCGTTGAGCGGAGTAGGCCCTATGGGGTCCCGGGAGCGTAGGGTCCCTGGGCCGTCGCGTTCAGT